ATAAATACAGGTTCTCCTTTTTGGCTACCTGCAGCCACTGTTCTGAATATACTCTGTAATCTTCATCAAAGAGTTGCTGTTAAAAAAATCAGTTGATCATACCTATTTTTATGAGATAATCTGATAATTTAGAGTCACAGAGATGTTAATTTTTTGTAATTTCCCAAATCATAGCAATGAAGTTTACTGAAATGGCATATGATGTTTACCGGAAATGTCAACTCTTCTTCTCTTTTAATCAAATGTTAGAGAAGACTGTGAGTTACATCCTGGTTGAATTTGTTTAAAGCCACATTAGAAAATGTTCTTTGCCTTCATAATTAAATTACTGTGCCAGCAGATTATTCTTTTTTCAGTTAATTACTTCTATTTGTCCACATGGTCTTTGCATAGCATCTGGGACAGACACCAGGATATAGGGGGAAGTCTTAGCCAGCAAACAGCTCATCTAATGCTTTTAAGAAGATAGCTTGAATAAATTAATTTCTTAATGAGCTTGCTTAGAAAATTTATTTCAGTGATTATGGAAGTTGCCAGATGGTCTCTACCAGTACTGAATGTTCTGAAGAAAACAGGAATTTCTACTCTTCCTTTTTCTCCTCAGTATTTTTTTCATTTCCTCAAAACATACTGATAGGATTTTATTCTTTATTTCTCTGATTACTTACATTTTAACACAAAACCAAATTTGCTGATGAATAATACTTCTAGTGTTTGCAAATGTTTCTTCTGTCCCACAATATCTGACACAAATAGAAAAACTCCATCACTTGTTAGCAAAACCAGCTAACTTCTTTTGAATCTTCACAGGAGTACTAGATCTATTTCATGTTTCTTCATGATTTCCTTAAACTCTTATCAGCTGGATAATTAACTGTAAGGGCAAAAGTAAAACATTGCTATTCCTACTTTCCTCTGTATGTTGCAACTACTAACACAAACCTGTAACAGAGGATGCTAACTTCATCACCCTGACATATACTCACCAGTGTTTGGATGAAGAACATCAAATTCAGATTTCCGATGGACTACTAGGCCATCTAATGAATTTTCATTAGCAACATATACAAATACCAGTAGGAGGACCTGTGTGTACAGTTGCACAATGTACCCATGATGAGGACTTTGTTTCATCTGCCTGCAATTTCCGTTCACAAACTCATCTTATGAAGCACGTGGGAAAAGAACTTTCATACAAAAGGATTGGTAATTGGAAGAATTAGAGGAAGTGGCAGAATTGGGCTTCAGGGATGAAATAAGGTGCTCTGGCAGCACTTAAGTCAGAAGCAGGTTATTTCTGACTATTAAGGCAATGGAGCTCTGGAATAGCCCCAGTCAGATCAAGGAGTGAAAAAATATGCTACAGCTGTAAAGGAGTTGCTTAACAATTGTGAAAGGATCCTGTGACAGTCACCTGCTCCAACACACACTGGTTTTAAAGACACAAGACTTTCCTACCAGAGTGCTTCCGTCTTGCTAAATATGTTGTTGCATCTTCTCCCCCACAGATCTGCACACTGCTCAAGTGCAAGAGCACAGACCTGAGCACATGTGGGCAGCCGGTGGAGACGGCTCAGACCGAGTTTGAGATGTTCTCCCTCAGTGGCACGTTTGGCACCAACTACGTCTTTCCAGAAGTCTTGTACAGCGGGGTGCAGCTGGCCCCCGGGGAGTTCGAGGTAATGGGACACCCTGGAACTGTGTCATGCTAGGTTCTCTGTAGGATAGTAATGGAATAAACTGTCTCAAAGCAGCCAAAGCGAACTTGCTCATAGTGAATCATCAGATCTATTAAATAGCTTTTAATGAAGTCACTGGTTTGTGTAACAGATATGGTCTGACATACCTTCTTCCTGTTTTGTCATGTTTTTCTGAGCTCTTAGCATGTTTGTGTCTAACCATGTTCTTCTCTTACCTTTGTCAATCAGGTATTGAGTGATGGGCGCTTGATAAGCAAGACAAGACCAACAAAACCAGTCATCACTGTGACGCTTTTTGGACGGTGGTATGAAAAGGATCATCTGAAGCAAGACCCACAACTGCCAGCCTTCTCATGATATGACCATAACTGAAGCTGTATGCTATTAATCCTATGTCCAAATGAGATACAGCATCCTCTACTATAACAATCCCAGTTATATTTCTTCTTTCCAGTTGCACAAACTTCTTATCAATGTCCTTTGTTTGGTAATAATGCAGCAATGTTGTTTTACTGATACCATTTATTGAGAAGTATCTATTTCTATATCATAAAATTACCAATCTTTTATAGTGTAAAACAGCAGCTGTTTTTTTCTCTCTCTGTTTTATGGAAATTCTTTTTCTAGGCCTTGGAAAACCTGTATTGTGGGCCAGAGGATACATTCTTATTAAAAGCAGCATTACATCTTTTATAATTGCAGATTATTATAAGACCAGCAAATAAAACAATTAAAGATGTGATTTGTGACAGGTCTATACAAAAAAGCTTGACAATACTTTGTCTCTGATATACAACCATTTATGCTGACCTATGCAAATGTGCTCCTACCCCACTTATACATCTTTCTACTATTTGTATTTCTTTGGGTTTATTGCCTTTATGTCATTGGTGCACATCACGTGGCACATGGCAGCACAGAATAGTGCATCATGGAGGCTGAGCAGGGACTCCAGTTGAAAAGGCAACCCTGAAACAAAACCTGCCACCACTTCTTGATCAGAACTCAATATGAATCTTCATTTCTTTGAAATCTGCGTTAACCAAAGCTTGGAATTGAAGCCTCAAAGTATTCTGCTTGCCAGTTCTGAACAACAGCTTGCCAACACCTGCTGGCTGCACTAGATGCTATTCAGAGCTGGAACTGCTTGTTCCCAGTGAAGAGGTCACTGAGTGACCTGGTATCATATAGCAGCTCCTCCATCCCATCTTCTCAATTTCTGGCCATATAAAACCAGCATATGTGAAATAAGCCTTGTCCTTTGCTCCTTCATGATGATGCTGGGTGGTGCGGCCCTGCAGATAAATTTGCTGTAGGGATTAGGGGTTTTAGACTTACATTTAAGAACAGCTACTCCTGGTGAGAAGGCACTGTTCACATCTCTGGTTCCTCTTCTTCCCCAGCTATGTTGCTGTAGCTGGACCCTAGTGATCTTCCTTCAGCATATCAGAGTTTAAAGATGTGCATGTTCTGTGGCTGTTAAGAGTGGTCAGAAACCCCTATTAGTCTAATTTCTCCCTCTTTTTCCCTATACTGGCACAATTCCTGGTCTCAGCGTGGTACTCTCAAGCTTCTCAGTCCCATGTACTTCTATTATGGAACTGGTGAGAAATATGGAGTGCAAACACTGTCCAAAGTCCAGCACTGATTATCACTGCTGTGCACCATATGACCTTTTCTGTTTTCAAATGTAAATAGATGCTTTCATGTGACATAACATAGCGTCATCTCTAACATAATGATACGTTTATCAAAAGGCTCAGACAATGTACTCTGACTCATGGAAGCTTAAAATAACTGCTGCTAGAGCCACACTCTCTTAAAACCTTGTTCACCGTTGGAGTCAGTTACTGCGTGACCACAGACTGATCTCAGTCCAGCAAGTGATTATCCAGTGTGACACTCTTCCCATAGGCAAAAACTCAGTGTACTTGTCCCCCAGGAACCAGTGCGTGATACCACAGCACTCTCCCAGGAAAAGGATCTGGATCTAAGGGAGGATATGGCACACAAGAAGGTCTCATCTTGCAATGCAGAAGGGATTCAGCAGAAGAGGCAGTTTCTTCTGATTCATTCACTGCTCATACCAGTCCTCTGCTAAGGGAATGTGTATGCAAGTAGTATCATCCCAACCCTGAATTTGGTGAGTATCTTGAAATTGGAATTTGGTTCATGGCCACTGTGATTTGATTTAGGTGTATTTGTGTGTTGGGTATTTTCCTATAGAAGACTGGCATAAGACATCATGGCACTGAATTCTTTTTTTGCAAAGATTGCATAACACTTATTGTTGTGAAATGTGTTACTGTGTGAAGTGAGTCAAGCATACAGGAAGTAATCCTACGAAATCTACCCATTATCCATGTAACAACTCTGTATAAGACAAGTCTGTGTGTAACCACTGGTAGCAATAAACACTTGTCCAAGGGAAGTGCAGCAGAAAAGCGTTTCGTTACCTGACAGCTGAGTCAGAACCAAAGAAGGTAAGAAATGGGCAACCAGACACACGGGATTTTTGTGCATGTGTAGCTTTAGCTTCAAGATTTCTGCTGGAGTGATATACAGACATAAGAAAGCAGATTGCAATAGGCAAAAATTAGAAATTGTGGCTCCCATTCATGATGCTTTTCCAACAGAGACCTTTGGGACCAGAGTTTTTCAGAGCTCAGAGTGGTGTGCTCACAGCACTCAGCTCAGAGGGTTGCGCTGACGACTGCTTAGACAAACAGCCTGCCAGGCAGCTCCGCTGCGATGTGGAGCTGCCCGCAGAGGCCACAGAACCCAGGGCCAGAGCTGTGGTGAGCTGAGGCAGCACAGGCAGTGACGGTGCGGCAGCACCGAGCTCGGGGCCAGCCACCTGCCTCCCACAGCCCTGCCTGCAGCCCCCCTGTGCCCTCCGGGAATGTGGCAATGCTGGTCTTCACTGAGATTTCCCAGGCTCTGGCTTGTTGTGACCTGGGCTTGCCTTGAGCTGCATTACTACAGCAATGCCACACCTGCATCATTCGCAGATCTGGCAAGCGATGCGTTTCTTTGGCTGCAGCACAGTGGTGACTTCTCTGCTGGTGGAGCAAGGCAGGATTGCTCAGTGCTGTGGCTCTCTTTCCTTTGATGTGTGAGGCTTTCCGGGCAGGGTGAAGGCATCTCCTGGTGTCGGCTTTCTGCTGCTCCCGGGAATTCCCAGGTTTCTGCAAGAATTTCCTTTTAAGTCCCCTGACTTTGCTTGTCCCCGTCCTCCTCCTGAGCGACTTCCAGGCTCCAGACATGGGGCTCCCTAAAGCTCATACCTGTGCTGTGCTTTTGGTGCTGTCTGCTCTGCAGGCCTGTGCCCTGGACAGCTACATCGCAGGTTTCAGTATCATAGAATCGCCGAAGTGCCAGTTTGTCCTGAGGAGGGTTCATAGAATCATAGAATGGTTTGGGTTAGAAGGGACTATAAAGCTCATTTAGTTCCAAGCCCCCTGCCATGGGCAGGGACACCTTCCACTAGGCCAAGTTGCTCCAAGCCCCGTCCAGCCTGGATTTGAACACTGTCAGGGATGGGGCATTCACAAGTTCCCTCGGCAACCTGTGACAGTGTGTCACTAGCCTCATGGTGAAGGATTTCTTCCTAATGTCTAATGTAAACCTATCCAGTTTCAGCTTAAAGCCATTACACGTTGTCCTGTCACTACATGCCCTTTTAAAAAGTCCCTCTCCATGTTTCTTGTCAGCCCCCTTTAGGTATTGGTATTTTAGTGGTATATATAGGTATTTTCTAATTTATTGATATATATAGGTATTTTATTTCTAAAATTCTATACAATAATTGTTTCCATGAGTCCTGATTTCAGACACATTGCTTTGTATGACTAATTTCAAATTGTTTATTGTGCAAAAAATGCCTTTTGTGACAAAGAGTAGTATAAACCCCCCCTGTATTGTTTAATTCTGTCTCAGGAAGCAAGCTAGTATGTTAGCTCTAGGCAGAGAGATCAGCACAGTTGAAGCATTAGTTTGCATTGCAGTTTGAGTCCAGGAGGGAGGGCACTCTCAGGGCACCTGCTACAACTATAATAAGCTATTGACTTATGACATGATAATCGTATCTTGGGCTGCATCCAAAGAAGCATGGCCAGCAGGTCAAGGGAGATGATTCTGCCTCTCTACTCTGCTCTTGTGAGACCTCACCTGGAGTACTGCAGTGAGCTCTGGAGTCAAGGAAAGACATGGACCTGTTGGAGAAGGTCCAGAGTTGAGCCACAGGAAGGATCAGAGAGATGGAGGACCTCTCCTATGAGGAAAGGCTGAGAGAGTTGGGGTTGTTCAGCCTGAAGAAGAGAAAACTCCAGGGAGACCTTATTGCAGCTTTCAGTTCTTAAAAGGGGCCTGTAAGAAATAAGGGGAAAGACTTTTTAGCAGGGCCTGTTGCAACAGGATGAGGGGTAACAGTTTTAAACTAAAAGCGGAGAGATTCAGGCTGGATGTGAGGAAGAAATTCTTTACAATAGGGGTGGTAAAACACTGGAACAGGTTGCCCAGAGAGGTGGATGGCGCCCCATCCCTGGAAAAGTTCAGTCAGGTTGGATGGGGCTCTGAGCAACCTGATCTAGATGAAGATGTCCCTGCTCACTGCAGGGTGTTTGGACTAGATGACCTCTGAAGGTCCCTTCCACACCAAACTGTTCTATGATTCTAAGTGATGAATTAATTTCTTGTTCTGCTTTGCTTTACTGTCGATCTCAACCATGAGTTTTCTGATTCTCCTCCCCATCTCACCAGGGGAGAGTGAGCGAGCACCTGTGTGGGGCTCTTGCCTGCTGGACCTTCGAAGGTCCCTTCCATCTCAAAGTATTTGATGATTCTATGATGATTCTATATGATTGATGAAAGGCAGGAAGCATGGCAGCACCATGTGTCTTACAAGTGCAGAGCAATCAGCTATGATCTCAAACATGAGGGCTGTACTTCAGGCAGGCAGACTGCCTTCAGCACTGGCTGAATTTTTAACTGATAGCAGACACATGCTGTAAGGTTATATGGAGTAATGGGTCATAACTAAGGCAATCTAGGCTCATCTCAAGAGGGATTTGGAAGCATGGATAGGTATGTAGAAATGGAGTGTTCATTCCACAGAGCCACTTGCAGATCAGCATTGCTTCTGACATGCACTCTTAGCCTTTTGTTCATCTTTTATTTACAGCATTTCAAATTAGAAACAAGATCCAATGTCTAGAAATGTTTCTTGGACTTCTTACTGTAAATAAATATTCTAATTGTTGGCAGAACCTTCCCAGATTACTCAATAGATTATTTCCTTTACTCCTCCTCTTTCTATCTGGTTTATATTCCCCAAGCCCAATCTACGAGCTGTGAGGCACCAGCCATGCTCCTGTCCCAGCCTCTCCTGCACGCTGCAGTGTTTGCACTCACAGTCCTTCAGGCCCTTGCCTCCAACACCTTCATTGCAGCGGTCTATGAACACGCCGTCATCCTGCCGGCTACTGCTGATGAACCTGTTTCTCCTGAGGATGCTTTGGCCCTGATGAACAGCAACATGGATGTCTTGGAAGGGGCCATCAAAGCAGCTGCCCAGCAGGTACTAGATGTATTGTGAGTGCCGTCAATTTGTGTTTTCTGCTCCTGGTTGTCTGTTGATGGGTGAATTCTTGTTGTGCCAGGGTGCCCACATCATTGTGACCCCTGAAGATGGCATTTACGGCTGGCGCTTCACCAGAGAAACCATCTACCCCTACCTGGAGGATATCCCTGATCCAGCGGTGAACTGGATTCCCTGCACTGACCCCACAAGGTGATTTCTCCTGCAGTGATTTATATGTTTTTAAACTAATGTCTCATGGGGTCATGAGGTGCTCCCAATAAATGCCCCAAGCCTGCTAATTCTTTTAATCTATGAAAAAATCCCAAGCACTGTAGAAATGAGGTGTATCAAAAAGAATGCTTAATTAGATGGTAATGGGATTATGCAAGGTAAAAATCATTGCGACACTTTCACTTTCAAAGATTGCAAAAGGAGAAAAATGAGGAAATATTAGGCAAAATCGATTATTAAAACATGCAAAACTTTATCTCTTCAGATCAATTGTGAAAATCTTCTGTAAGTGTCCTATCAGATGCACAGATTAGACAAGGTGATTCAGTCCTCATTACATGTGGCTGGGTGATTTCTAAATCATATTGTACAAAGTATTTATCTAGATCTGAAAGAAGTGTCTTTTAGAAATCCAGCTGCCTGCACAGTCTGCTGTGTTACACAGGGCTGCTCTGAGTGATGTCACGAGGGCACATCAAGAGGACCGAGTCCATCTCCAAGTTAAGCTTTTGTATTCTACTTTTCTGAGGCTTTATGAAACTATATATTAGTAGCCCTCAGCTCTAAAAGCTGTGGTCACTTTTTACTAGACGGTTATGGGCAGCTACCTTAAACAGAGTGAAGAGTCTGAAAAAAAGGCTGAAATAACCTTTTGAAATCAAAGCTTAGAGCTGCCTGAAAATTTAAGTTACTTCAAATTTATGCCTACATGCTGATTTATTCTCTCATTTGTTTTCTGAAGATGTCCATATCTTAGTATGTGTGTTAGTATGGAATTAAATTCACACAGAAAACAACATTGTTAAGGATACAGAAAAGAAGAACACAGGGAGACCAGTTTTTAAAGGTGAAAATGACTGACAATTTAAAATGATGCTATGAACAGAAGCTACTATTTGATCTATCCCTTTCCAGCATCTGGGGATGTGGAGCTAGTGGAATAGTAATTTGAAATACATTTCTTCCATATCTTAATATAAACTTGTAAATTTTTTTCTTTTTTTTTCTATTCCCTAAAATGCATCAGATTTGCGCCTGCTCCAGTGCAGGAACGACTCAGCTGCATGGCCAGGAATAACTCCATCTATGTGGTTGCAAACATTGGGGACAAGAAGCCGTGTAACTCCAGCGATCCCAGCTGCCCCAAGGATGGTCGCTATCAGTACAACACTGATGTCATCTTTGACCCAGAGGGGAAACTGGTGGCTCGTTACCACAAGGTAAGGAGGCACTTCACATCACCTGGTCATTGACTATCAGTACATTTTTAATCTCGCTGGTACCAATTTCAACCGGTTTACACAATAATTTTACATTATTGTTGAATGACAACCAATCCAGGATGATCCAATGAAAGAATCTTATGGACAGAAGGTAAAGCAGGCAAGTGTTTGCTCGATCAGGTGTTATTCCTGGGAGCATTGCAGTAGCAGAGTTCATGACAGACACCAAACACTTAAGGGCTATGTTTATGATAGTAAATGGGAAAAAAGCAGTGACAGTTTTCCATACTCAGTAAATGTTAGCTGGTCCTCAGTACGCTTTTAGGCAAGCTAAATAGAGCTTTAGCAGGTGACGTCTTGGCAGGGTTTAGCAGTTTGGATTGGCTGGGCATTGCTTCCAGGAGGCAGATGGGGCACAGCCACCTCATTTTGCAGGGGGAGAGTGGTAGCTGGATGAATGCAAACCCACTGATCAGCCAGCTCAGGTATCTCAACCCCCAACTTTGCCTTAAAACCTATCTCAGATATGAAAGTAGATGTTCATAATCTTGCTTTATTTTTAGTTTCTAATATGGCATTTTCTTCACCTGCAGTACAACCTGTTCAGAGGAGAAACCCAGTTTAATTACCCAAAAGAGCCAGAAGCCATCACCTTTGAGACCCCCTTTGGGAAGTTTGGCATTTTCACTTGCTTTGACATCCTTTTCCGTGAGCCTGCTGTGGTCCTGGTGAGAGAGTTGCAGGTGGACACCGTGCTCTTCCCAACAGCTTGGATGAATGTCCTGCCCTTTCTGACTGCGGTTGAGTTTCACTCTGCTTGGGCTATAGGCATGGGTGTCAATTTACTTTCAGCAAATACTCACAACATCAGCTTTGCAATGACAGGTGAGTTGCATTTGGGAAAAAGGAAATTGTCTTCTAAGTACTTCATTCAGAAGCAGGCGGAAATGTTTTACAAATAATGAAGTCTATGGAAAATAATATTTTTATCAGAATAAAAATCTTCTTGATGTTGTATTTATTGTATTAAACAGTTTCAGGAAAGAAAATGTTGATTATTCCGGGAGATTGTAAATTAGAAAGTCCATGACATGAAAATTTGATAATTTAAAAGTGAAATTTTGTTTAAAAAATAGGACAAAGTTTTACTTAAATTTTCAGCCTTTCATTTAGAAGCAGCATTTTGAGTTTAAAATTCAATCAACATTTTAAAAAAAAAAGTTTTAAACAGAACTTAATAACCAAAAACTAAAAGGAGGATTCCTCTTGTATATTGAATAAAACATTTTCAGTTTTTGTGGCTGTTGAATAATTAGAGATATTTATCTTTTGGTTTTATCTGAATAGATATTTACTGCCACTTTTTTCTGTCAACTAAGAAAACATTGCTGTAGCTGCATCTGTAACTCTCCTGAAGCCAAAGTGAAAGCCAGAAAGGAACTTTTATGTTCTAAATAGACAGAGCTGAGTTTAAGCCACTGCCCTTGGTTTCCTTCCATGTAATTACCCCCATGGCTTCCTTCTTTGGCAAATATGCCACTCTTAGAGCTCTGATTTATCTTTAAATGAATCTAAGTTCTTTACAAAACAAAAAAAAGGAGATGGTCCTGTGTCAAATTGCCAAATTGCCATACAAGGCTCAGTTTCAAAATCCAACAAAGCGCAAGAACGGTGAAGTTTAGGTCACATTTTTACACTGTGTTGGGCATTTTAGCCATTCTGTGCTTTAAAATTCTTCCAAAATTCTCTGTGACATGTTGACTGAAAATAACATCATTGAGCAACCCCACTGGTGTGTCATGGGGGGAAGCTGTCCCCCCTGATGAGCCGTTCTGGGGGTGCCAACTGACAGAGGACTGGTGGGTGTCCTTGACAGGCAGTGGGCTGTTCACACCGGAGGGACCCGTTGCCTACCATTACGACAGTGAGACTGATGAGGGGCGTCTCCTGGTAGCAGAGCTGAGTGCTCAACCCCGTCTTTCCCCCAACTACCCCCCGGCCATCAACTGGAGCTTGTATGCCACAAGCATCAAGAAATTTCCAGAAGAAGACACATTTCTGGGAGCTGTTCGGAAGGATATATTCACTTTCAGTGAACTCAGGCACAAAGGTAGAAATTACACAGTTTGCCAAGGAGACCTCTGCTGTCATTTGATCTATCAGATGTCAAACATGAGCAAAGATGAAGTTTATGTCCTGGGCGCATTTGATGGGCTTCATGGTTCTCTCATAAAATACCACTGGCAGGTAACTGTTTTTGTAGAGGGGAGTGTAGGTTGTATATGCCTACATCCCAACCACCCTAGAATACATGTTCATTACTGCATTGTGAGAACTTTTCTTGTTATCAAAACCAGCTCTTGATTGTTGAGAGCTTAGTGGTATTTTGCCTTTCTGTATCTTCCTCCCTGCAGATATGCACTCTGCTCAAGTGCAAGAGCACAGATCCAGAAACATGCGGGCAGCCGGTGGAGACGGCTCAGACCAGGTTTGAGATGTTCTCCCTCAGTGGCACGTTTGGCACCAACTACATCTTTCCAGAAGTCTTGTACAGCGGGGTGCAGCTGGCCCCCGGGGAGTTCGAGGTAATGGGACACCCTGGAACTGTTTGACACAAGATTTTCCAAGCTGTAGTGCTAGAAACCAATAGGGCAGCAAAATTCCATCTAAGACCCATTGTCTTTGGTTCTTCAGACCATAACTGAAGGGAACATTTAAAAGGATAGATTGAACTAACCCTTACTTGTGAGAACATATAAATGCTAAGGTCAAGAATCTTCCAGTGTATTCTTTTGCAGACATGCCTTCCCACTTTAGGTCCCAAATCTATAAATAGCAGCTTTCAAGGAGCTATTTTCTACAGGTTTCTGCTAATGGAAAATGTAGGAAATAAAGAAATCAAATGCTCTGAGAAATTGTCCAAGCAAGAACAGTTACTGAGTATCATGCATAAAGAGCAGAGACCCTATGCAGTTAAAAATGTTAAAGGGGGTTTTGACCGTTTGGTAGGGTTATTTTCTTTTATTTGAAACTTCATCATATGTTTTTGCCAAAATATGTTTTCATTCATAAACTTTAGATTACATTTTTACAAGTGGCTAGATGAAATCCTAATTGATTTGGAAGAGGTATGTAATAGCTCACAAGAGACAATGAAGACAGTGCAAAAGACTTGAAAAGTTTTAGGGGAAACAAGGGTGATTTTTTTACAAGGTAGGTCATCTTGCATGTTTGTTTTGAAAGGGACTTCTGTAAAATCATACACTTATTGGTATGCTAAAATATGGCCATAGTCTAACTTAAAATAATAGAGAGAACTGGGGTTGTTCAGCCTGGAGATGATAAGGCTCTGGGGAGACCTTAGAGCAGCTTCCAGTACCTAAAGATGGCCAATAAGAAATCTAGAAAGGGACTTTTTACAAGTGCATGTAGTGACAGGACAAGGAGAAATGGCTTTATGCTGACTGAGGAGAGATTTAGATTAGACTTTAGGAAAAAAAATTCACTATGAGGGTGGTGAGGCACTGGCACAGGTTGCCCAGAGAAGTTTTGTCTGCTCCATCCCTGGCAGTGTTCAAGGCCAGGTTGGACGGGGCTTTGAACAACCTAGTCTAGTGGAAGGGGTCCCTGCCCCTGGCAGGGGGGGGGGGGGACTGTAGGCAGGGGGGTTGGAACTTGATGATCTTTCAGGTCTTTTCCAACCCAAACCATTCTATGATATTTTCTTAATTAATACATGCTTAGTATTTGTTACAGAGACTCTTAAAAAGTTGCACGTGTTCGCCGTCTATGAACCACAGTGATTTCAAATTGATCTGTAAAAAGTGACTAAGAAAAGCAACATATGGTCAATAGCTTGAAATACCAATCCTCCATCTTGAAATTATTTTGGGGTCTACAAATTGAGAAAGATTTCAAATTACTGCCCTAGATACGTGTATAACCTTCATTGCCATGTATGAGGAACTTTCCCCAGAGATGCAGCTGGAGGAAATTTTAAAGACCTTCAGGTCTGAGGGAACGTGGCAAAGCTATTGCAGCACCAGAGATAATTCTGGTTTCTTTCATTCTCATGATCATATTGTAAAAGTGCTGCATCAAAATATTCGACGTCTAAGGCCTACCCTTTCTGTACTGTGCAATATTGCTATTCTGTTAGTGGACTGTTAGTATCATTCTTTCCATTTTCAACTAGGTGCTACGTGATGGACGTTTGAAAAGTAAGCATGGCACATCAAAACCACTCATAACAGCAACACTTTTTGGAAGGTTTTATGAAAAGGACCTGCCTCATCCTCTGCGAACATCTACATCCCATAACTCAGCTGTTACACAGTCACCATAGACAGAAGGGGAATTTCCTGCACTGATCCACCTTCTCATGAGTCATGGCAGTTATCCTGTATCATTCCTGTTCTGCAATCTTGCGCTTCCACTCAGCAGCCATATTAGTTGGATTTATTTAGGAGAAAACGATGTGATCACTCAGTTGTGTGTACCTTGTTAGTAACGCTTGAGCCACTGCAATTATTTTCAATATGAATGCTCTGTCACATGACATCTTTAATTAGAGATTTTTTTTTCCCCAAGGATAACATGTAGATTGCCAGGATAGCACTAGAAAGAAGACTGATACTGAAATGTGTGACATGTGAAGTCTGTAGAGTTGCCACCGAACAAATCTTTTCTAAGGAAGACTTTCTGTCCCTTTCGCCCCTGCCTGTTTTTTACACTGCACCAAGTGTCCATGTTTCTCAGCCTTACACACCAGCCAGTAGGGCCTCCCTAATACCTGATGGGCCTTTGCCTCATTTTCACCAAGGGACTCCACAATGAAGAGAAAAACAGATTCAAAATAGTTTTAGGTGCAACCTTAGGGAGAGAGTGGGCCTCCAAAATCCACACAGGCACTGTCTGCCTGAACTCTGTAAAGCTTCTTCAGTTCTTCAGTCCCTCTGAGCTTGCATTGCTTTGTGCATGACAGATGCATGCTGGGTCCAATGCTTTTCAGATCAGACTTACAGTATATACATGGTATACTAACACATTCTCCTGGGTATTTGGCAGTGTTTAGTACCTGAAGCGTATTTTACCATTTAGTGTGAGAAATGGGCATTATTTGGAACTTGTAGCAATGATATGACACTCCTGGGCCTAATTTCTATTGTGTTCTGCAGCAAACAGGTCTCATTCACACCACATGCATACACCTTTTGGTGGTCCCTGACTCAATGATTATCCCATAGTCTTTTGCACCTACTGGCCTTCACGTCACTAAAAGCCCACACCATGCTTAGCACTGAGCTGCATTAAGTGCGGCACATAAGAAAGGCTCTGTGGTTTCACACCTCATGCATACCAATGTATGTTATCCAGAAACTGCTGAAATCACATGATTTGTGTTTTCCCATGTGCTGCTGCTTCTCAGCACACGACTTTAGAGGTTCTTTCCAGGACTTGCTTCATCCTGGAATTGAAACAGCTGAGATCGTACTCAGGGGAGGAACTGCAGCACTTGAGAGCCATTATTCAAGATAGACAGGGCCTCCAGCTCATGCTTTATGGTGCACCAGCACCTCACCCTTTTCTCACCTGACTTGTACTTGTAACACAGACAGGTCTTTCATCAGATAAGGAAGTTTTTATCAAGGGAAGTTAGGACCCATTTGCAGCACTGCTAATCCCAAATGACTGTGGTGCAGACAGCCATGCTGCAGGGTGGGAGCTGACTCTGCTTCCCAAGCCAGTCAGGTGCACTCCAGGAGACCCCTGTTGCCATAACGGGCAACAGTTTGGGAAGGGCAAACAAGACAGCATGTAGAGACTGCCCCTGCCCATGGCAGAGGGGTGGAACTAGACAATCTTTAAGGTCCCTTCCAACCCAAACCACTCCATGATTCTATGATTCTGTGCTGGTTATGAAGGTCTGCAGTGTCATCCTGTTGACCATGCAGGTCCATTGGTTTGCACTGGGGTCAGCACAGTCAGGCACATATGGTGGAAATCGTGTCTGCAGCAGAGCATCCAGGTACTTTGCCCTGGTAGTGGTCCCCATGGTAGTGCTTCCCCATCCATCCTCAGTGCTGCTCACTTACCTGCCTGCCCTGGGAGAGCTCAAGGAAACACTCTGAGAAAGACAAGAGCTACCCAGACTTGTAAACTCCGGTACCCAAAAGGATCCTAAAAAGGTTTTTAACTTCAACATAAAATTCTCTCTGCAGCCCCTTTTTCCCTCTCTGCCCTAGAGGTAGAGGTACCTCTGGTACCTTTCTTTTCTAGTCTTGGTCACTCCTTGAGACAGCTCAGGCCATGGTGCTGGTGGGGTAGGGATGGAAGAAAGAGGAACCCTCACTGAGGGGGAAGGTCTCTACCTCCTGAAGCCTTCTCACCTCGCAGGTACTGCAAGATCTGCAAAATCAGGCATGGAGCCAGAACGGCACCTCCTCCTCATGCACCCTGCCTCTTGCCTCCATCTCATCCTTGGCTGCCCTTCAGGTAAAATATGCTTTTATTACCTGGCCTAGAATTGCTCATGTGGAAAAGAAAAAAAAAAAAAGAAGAAAGTAAAAGAAGAACCACTGCTGGAGTGACATGTGAACACACTTTGACTTTTATTTGACTTTTTGCTGTCACAGTCAAAAAAATCAATTAAAATCCCTGGTCGGCATCAGTAGCTTTTCATATCAATCCACAGAAAAGATGTTTTAGAGAGAAATGCCCCACAGATACGTCAGTGGCACTCTTGAAACCAATACTTTGCAGGTTGCTGGTACTCTAAATCCTCAGTATTTAATGTACTCCAAGTGGATGTGAAACTTATAAAAATCTTTCTGAAACTGAAGAGGAATACAGTTGTGAGACCTGGACTGAGCAGAACTGTAGACATTCAGCTTATTATTACTAGGTTTATCTTTAACTTATCAGGTAAAACTTCCCTAAAATATCTGTAGCAGTGGAGTCAGTTCACTAGAGTTAATGAAATTGGGCCCCTGGGGACATAAATGAATTTTAAAGAAATATTTTTTCTTTTATTCAAGGGTAGATCTTTTGCCACATTCTGCTCCCTTGTCACTATTCAGGCTATGATAACAGAACATAAAAATCTCTCAGATATTGCTTGCTGGCATTTCTGAAGTATGGGGTACTTCCCAGACACATTCAGAGCTGACTGTCTTAGGTTGTCAGAGCTGGAAATGGCAGGGGATAAAATTGATATTGCTAGTTAAGTAGCTTATAGGCCATGGGGAAATTACTCTTGAACCTCATGTTTTAGGAATGAAGAAGTCCAGGATTCTTCGAAAATTACATGAAAACCAAATTTGAAGAATAGTTGAATGATTTTGAAGATGTGCTGTACAGTTTCCCTCTCACTGAGAATGTAACAAGGGTGCCATACAACAGACACTGAGGAGTTTATTAATCCCTTTCTAATTTCTAATGATAAAGCAAGAATTTAACCAAGCAGAGGATGAAGTTACATGGACCATTATAGCACTCTGAGAATAGCTCCATCATTTTTATGCACAAGAACCATGAACCCAGCTTTTGGGTAGGGGTTTTCTGGAAGGAGTGCAAAACCCAACCAGTTCTTCAGTGAGGAACCTGGTGGTCACAATGACTAGATGAAGTTCAGTTTTAGGAAATGTGAGTTTTTGTAATGAAGGCTGATTTCAAATGATGCAAATTACAGAGTACAGAAGCAGAGAGCTAATAGATGACTGATGTCACAAATCACATTAATATAGAACAGTTTCTGTTGAATTCATGGAAAGTTAACTAGCTATGCACTTACATTCTTACTTGTTAGGTAGGAGTTAGAAAACAGAGAATGTTAGCTCATCTTTAGGAAGAGGCAAAAAAAAAGTCCTCTCCTACGTGTTCTTTATGGGACAGAATTTGAGTTTCTGAAAGAGCAGGAGTGTTTAGTGACTCTGGGACAGATATGCCAGAGAGGAAGAATCAAATTAAATTTTACGTTATTTATATCAGTGACTCCACCTCAAAAGCTGCTCCAGATTGTATCCTAGTGAACTCCATACTTTTCTGAGCTGGAAAAGCCTGTTCTTCACACAACAGTATTGCTTCTTTATACCTTGATCTAGGTGGAAGCAAACAAGATGCACCTGTTTAAGGTACACAGGGAAAAACAAGTTCTTAATAGATTCTATTGATGCAAGGCTCCAGATGACAGTAGAAAAATATTGCATTAAAACAAGTGTAATCCGAACCTTAAGGCTGACTTAAGATTGGTAACAACTTTAGGGAAACTTTAATTCTGAGTAAAATTAAATGTACTTTATTGTACATGTTGAATTAAAGCAAGCAGACCTTGAGCAAAAATAGAGTGACAGAATCTTAATAATCTGCGGGGCTTTTTTAAAGAGAGCAGGACACTACAGCCATGTCCTTGTACGCATATTTCAGTCATCATAACCTCAAGTTATCCATTGAATAACATGGAACAGTGAGGTGCAGTCAGAGACTGTGCAACTATTAGACCCAGTAATACAACACTAAATGTTTATGAACAATTTGTTTTTTCAAAGGTGAATTACCGGCAGTATGGGATACTGTTCCCAGCTACACAGAATCAGTGCAAATATAGCGAGTGACAGACAAAATGACCATGACCTGAGTTTGAATTGAAGAATTGGTACATTTCTAATTAACCAAGAGCCAAATTGTAACCCCACCTCATCCATTCAGTGTTTGCAATGTCACCATCCACGACCAGGTCAGGAAAGTGGAAAAAAAGAAATAACTTGCACAGGTCAATAAAGACAGCAGCAATCATTATCAGGCTTATCACAGCTAATGCTGAAATGCTTCTCAGTGGCTTGCAGAGCTCCATGAGATGTCATGGAGCCCAAGAGAGAAATAAACCGAGTATACATTGTAAAACTTAACTTCTGGACACCACAGACAAACAGCATCTCCTAGTGAAGCCATGGATAAGCATAACAGCATTACCCAGGGATTTCTACCTGTGGATCAGACACAGCTAGAAATGACCAGTCTTGATGAAACAGAAACGTAGCATATTGGCAACAATATGTTAATTTCTTTTTCAGTTTAGAAAATAATTAAGAATTAGCAGGAGCACTTGAAGCCTCCATCTGTGAAGGTATTACAATGTTTCTTGTAGCTATTCCTTACTATGAAGTTGTAAGTGAAGTAACACCCTTACCTCTTCTTCAGTGATCCAATATTCAGGTGACATTCAGCAGGTACTGAGGAGATAAATGAAGCTCTTCTGGTGAAAAATCAAGCTGCCCACACATGTCTTCCTGAGGCTGGGCAGCAGAGGGTGGGTATCAAGGAGCACAGCCTCTAACATTGGTAGTT